AAAAAAAAAAAGAAAAAAGAAAAAAAGAAGAAAAGAGAGAAGGAAATAAATTAAAAATAATAATAATAATAACCGGAACTTTTTTTGTTTTGCCAGAGGATTTCGGGGAAGTTGTAGTTGATGTCAACTACCTCAATGTGGGAGCTGAGGTGCCTAATTTCCAAATTTTTATCTGCTGAGATATCTTCAAGGTACATATAATATAACCATGTTTCAAGTTTTATCTGCTGAATTATCTTCACGGTACTTATAACCATTTTTTCTGCCATATATTATATCTGGTTGAATCAAACTGTTTGTGTTCCTATGTTTATTTGGTGGTCTACCAAATTATTGTGCTGGTTAGATTAGGGGTGAGAGCATGTTGTGATGTGAAAAGATATCGGCTTAAACCCTTCTTAGAATCAAAATTGGGTCAAACCTTGTGAAACATGATACCGAATAAGCTTAAACCTTTATTCCACCATAGCTGCAAACTATTCTCTGACTAGCAGAAGATTCCAGCATTTACAGTTTTATTCCAACTCTAGCTAACTCCTACTTCTCTGGAATCTTCTCAACTACGAGTATGTTGCCCACTAGAAGATTCTACAGAAGTAGGAGTTAGCCAAAGCCTTCGATTATGAGTAGGATTATCATTTCTTCCAACAGAGAACTTGTTACTTTTTATTACAAAAAAGAACCTATGACATTGAGTTACGGATATACTCTCAAAATTTAGAATCTCGCCTTTCCAAAGTGTTGTTTGGTTTCTTGGATATAGGATTTTTTTTTTTTCCCTTTTTCCCCCCAAACTAGTGGATATTTAATCTCTACAAAATTTGAGAATATTTCTGGATAGCGTATGGGAAGCGATTTTCATATTTTCAGAAACTCGGATGATAAAATGAAAATGTGTTTTGAGTTTTTTTATTTCTCCTTAATTCCAATTTTTGCTGCCTTACCTCAATATTGTTTTCCACGAAAACCTCCTTGAGCGATTGCTTGTTCAATGTCCATGTTATCCTCGCAGGACCATCCATTCTAACATTTACAGTTAAAGCCCTCTGTGATCACCTTTAGAGATCACCTAGAACTTGCAGAAGACTCGGATGGGAATCATACGATATATGGTGTCTATATGGGTCCTGGAGCCGTCTCTTCGGGGAATCATGAAGGAAATAAATGGTATCATTCTTTTATTTCACCATTCCTTTTAAGTCTTGGAGTGGGTAATAATATTAATACCCTGTTACAGTGTGATAAGATATCTTGCTCTTGTCCTTAAGACTAGAGATATGTGGAATTTGATTTGAAGGAAAAATTTCTGATATGTTGAAAATGGGACTCTTTAAGACACATTGGAACACTCGACTTCAGAAAAATGGGATTTTGTAGGATATATTGCAACACTTGACTTGAGAAGAAAAAAGATGGTATATCATTGAATGGCAAAAGTGATCTTTTCCCTTAAGTGCACGCATACATGCAACTTCTATTTATCAAAAGCTTTTATAGACGTGAATAAGTGTCTCCAGTACACATTTGACTATGTTTTCACTTTCAGTAAGCTGCTCTTAGGCAAATCTAAACTGCTCGTAGGCAGATCTAAACGTTAGACGACTATACTTTCGAATCGGAATATTATTTTTGAAAACAATCGTATAAACAGAAGTATGGTATTTCATTGCATGAATATATA